CACTGCAGTTCCCGAGTATGCCCGACTTCCCTGCCCACAGGCCATGGGTGCAGCTCCGGGCAACACACTGGGGCCTCTGCCAATGGCCAAATAGGAGAGAACGTCACTTTCTCTTTGTCCCTTTCCCCCAGAATATGGCTCTTTATGCCGACGTCAGTGGAAAACAATTTCCTGTCACCCGGGGCCAGGATGTAGGGCGTTATCAGGTAAGGGATGCTGTGGTGGTGGTTTTGAGGGGAGGCCACCTGCTCACAGGTGTGACTTGAAGCCCTAGAGGTGGCCTGATCAGGCAGGGTCGGGGTTCTGTCTCAGGCCGCTGGTAGTGGTGCTGCGTTAACGCTGGCAGGGGGGCCTTGACGTGCCCACCGTGCCCACCCCCTGCCAAACACCCAACCCAGGTGTCCTGGAGCCTAGACCATAAGAGCGCCCACGCGGGCACCTATGAGGTCAGATTCTTCGATGAGGAGTCATACAGCCTCCTGAGGAAGGTGAGTGCCACCTGCAGCTCCACCCAGGCCTGCAGGAGGGGGAGGGTACACCTGCTTCCGCAGCCACCTTCGCCCCACAGTCCTGTCTTCCTGGAGCTCTGGGCCTCTAGGGCCTTTGCTGACAGAGTGACCAGGCGTGCGCCCTCCTGTCCGCCCACCCCACCTTGTTTCTCCCTTGCCCATTTTCCTCTTCCACGACTCAAGCCAGTGTTCCTGCCTCCCCTACCCCACCCCGATGGCATCCCTGACCCCAGCACCTCCCTTGCAGGCTCAGAGGAATAACGAGGACGTTTCCATCATCCCACCCTTGTTCACAGTCAGCGTGGACCATCGGGTGAGTGGGCCGGAGAGGCTGGCCTTGTCTCGGGAAGCAGCGAGCACACAGCAGGCATTGCCTTTTGGAGGGTGGGGGCTGGACCGTAGTCGGCTAGTATGTCTTTGTGACCCAGGAGGGTGACTGGAGCTGGCTGGCCCCCTCGCCCACTCCTCCCCTGAGCTGGCTTTGGCCTCCTTTCTTGCAGGGTACCTGGAACGGGCCCTGGGTTTCCACCGAGGTGTTGGCTGCAGTCATCGGCCTAGTGGTCTACTACCTGGCCTTCAGCGCCAAGAGCCACATCCAGTCCTGAGGGCGGCACCTGCGCCCCCCTTGCTTCTTTCAATAAAACAGTTACTGTCTGTCACAAGCATTCAGGACATTGCTTCTCACTTGCGTTACCACACCTGGCCTTCCACGCAAGCACAGCGGGGCGGCCAGCATCCCCTGGTTCACCCAGACAATGCAGCGTTAAGCAGGAACAGGACCAAAACCCCCACGCAGGTGTTTGCTTCGCTCTTTGCCAATGCAGGCTCTTTCCTCGGCCCCCAGCTAAGCCTTCCATGCTCAGTGTCCCCAGTGCCCACCTCTGTCTCTGGTGGCCTGCACATACTGTCTTCCGGCAGAGAGGACTGCCTTATTCTCTTCTGTCCTCTTCCCAGTCCTCTGGCCTGCTGGATGTGTCTCCCTGTGGCCTGCCTAGGGAATGGCCCTCTGACTACCTCCCATGGGAGGGAAACTGCCTGGCTTCACCAAAATCCAGCAGTCAGCAGCACACAGACGCAGCCCTGTCCAGCCTGCGGAGTGCTTCCTGTGTTTGGAGCCCTAGGCACAAGCCACACACTGAAGTACTTGCCATGCTCTTCCTGTGTCGCATTGAGTGTCCCTATCTTACTGACGCAGTTGAAGCTGATACCCCCTGGCAGCTGTCCGGGGGGGGGGGGTTTGTCATTCTAAGCACTGCACCCCATCCCCTCCATGTCGCCTCCCAGTGTGCACTTCCTTCCTGGGGTCGGAGGGGACATGTAGAAGGCACAGGAAGGAGAGACAACCCAGACCCTCGAGCCTCTGAGGAGCCCGTTGCCAGCTTCTTGGAGTTTGGCCTTGCCCCTCCCCTTAGTGACCCCTCTCCCTGAGCACCCGGTGCCCTCGGGACAACAGGCAGTCATGCCCCTGCCTGCCCTGTGCTCGGGTCAATCTGAAGCCCTGCCCAGCCCAGTTTCACGGTGCCACCCATGGCCACAGAGGTGGTGAGAGACCTGGGGTCCAAAGGGGCTGGGTGCAAATCCCAGGGGAGTCCTTCCCACCCACACGGCCTGAGTTGGTTTGCTCAGCAGTGGAGTGGTGACTGCCTCCTTCGGGGTGTCAGTGAGGGGTCATTGGGCCCAGCTGGCAAAGCTCCAGGCATCCTGGTGCTTAATCACAATCAGCTGTTACCGAAGAGCTAATGGCTGTGCAATTAACGGAGGCTTCCAGAGAGGCTGCACTCAGGAAGGTAGTCCCGAAACCTACCAGGGAGGGCACGGGGCTCCTCGCTGCCTGGGCCTTGGGCTTTATGGCAGCAGGAAAGGCTGGGAGCATGGAGGCTGGGAGTAGCACGTGACCCAGGACAGCCTGGGGACCTTCTTCAGACTAGGGGACATCAGCCTCTCCTCGCTTGTCAGGATGGGGGCAACTGGCAGGAATTCTGAGAGCTGGGTCCTCGCTTCAAGGGTACAGCAAGAGTTGAGGCTCAGATTCCCCTGAGGACCAAGTCAGGCTAAGGCCACTGGCTGCTGGGGTTTCTGGATTCTGAAGAAAAACCAGCGGAGGGAGCCCAAGGGGGCACCTACTGGCGGTGACTGGTGCTCTCCCACCATTGCTAAGGAGCAAAGGGAGAACAGCCCTGGTGTCCTGCTAACAGTCTGCGTGGGGCAGGTGCTCAGGGGCCTGGCCAGGCAGGAAGTGAAGCAGGCACAGAGGTCCAGTGGCTCTTTTTGATCCTGGCTCTACCACTCCACCAATGGCAATGGGACCCTAATGTGAAGTCACTGTTCTAGGGTGTAAGTAGCCAAGAGCTGCCAGCTGTCCTGAGTCCTCCCCCACTCTCCCAGAACCAGTGAGAGCCCGACACAGAGCTGGCTTTTTCATTCAGCCAAGGGACTCCAGGTTCCAGGCCTGTCCCAGCCCACATCCCAGGAGCAGTGGGCCTCCAGCACCCTCACTGGAGCAAGAACGGGGTGCTTCCAGAGCTATCAAAGTGAGCTCCCCAATGGCTGGGGAGGGATACCCAAGGAACAGTTAGCCTCAGTCTCCAACTCTGCCCAGTTTTCTGCGGCAGGGGCTGTGCCCTTGGAGCCCCATCCTCCCCCACGAAGGACCTCGCACTCTCCCCTCCCGAGGAACGGGACTGGTCACAAGGGTCTATGTACCTAGCCCTCAGCAACAGAGGCCTCAGAGGGCTGAGAAGTGGGCGTCTCCAGCCCCTGCCCCTCTGCTCCCATTCACCCCTTTTCACCAGCGAACCCTTTCCTCCCTCCCAACCCACTGGTGATCCAGCCCTGTGTGATGGCTCGCCCTCCCAGCTGCTCAGACAGCAGCTGGACAGATGCGGCCCACTTGGGAACCAGCCTTCCCAGCAGGGCGCTCAGCTTCTGGGAACATGGACTCAGACTTCCCGCTCACACCCATCTCAGCCAATTAGCGGAATTAACAAGAGGTCTACATTGTTTCAAGAGAATTTTAATTCGTCCTTGCCCACTTCAGCTGCTGACAGCCTCCAGTGTCTTCAGGAGACAGCTCCTTCATGGCCACACCCATGGAGCCCTGACGTTGCTGTCTTTGGGCCCTGGTACCCACCCAGCCTGGAGCATGGTTCCTGAGACTTAGCAGATGCCTGGTGACTTGCTGCACTGAATGGAACCACAAGCATCTGGCTGCCCCCCTGGGAGTTCCCGAGCCAGAAGGGCCCTCTGCAGCCGCCCAGGTACTCATCCATCTGGCCAAGACATTTGCTCTGCATCTCGTATGTGCTAGGCTTTGCGGGGCCCCCAAACAGGGAGGGTAGCTTGTGTCTTCGAGAAGCTTCCCAGCAGCTCCTTACTCCTGCTAGGGGTCTTCCAGAGCAGGGAAGAAAGGGTGGGCGGAACCCACTTCTCTCCAGCTCCACCACGCCAGTGGCAAACCCCAACATCCGTCCTCTGCCATCCTTCCTTCATCTGGGGACCACCCCCGTAACCATGTCACACCACTGAAATGATTCAGGTGATCCTGTCATGCCTCCTCCAAGGGAAGAGGACATTGACCTCGCTGTTTTTCCTCAGTGACACGCCAGGGAAGCTGAGGCACAGCTTTCAACTGGCCCCAGCCCTCACGTGCCCTGCCCCTAGCCGCACCCCTAGCCCCACACCCCTCCCCCACCTCAAACCTACATCTCTTCTCCCAGCACGATGAGAATGAACACAGTGAGGCCAAGGGGCACCATAAAAAGGTAGCTTGCTTTATTCTCACGATGCCAGTGGGGAGCAGAGATGGGCAGCCTGTCCTCAATCTGAGGGTCTCTGAGCCAGAGGGGATCCAAGGGGCCTGAGGCCAGCTCTCACTAAATGTGCCAGTCTCTGAGGGCTGCCTGGTACACACCTGCAAAGCGGGGTACAGGGCATCTTCTCCCCAGTCAGCCCAGCTGGCTGGTCACATCTCTCACTGGGTCCGGGCCGCTCCCTCAACTCCATGTGGGTCTTGTCACCAGGGTCTTCCGCTGCTCCTCACGGGGCTTGGCTTCTGGACCTCTTACGTCTAAGCCCTCTAAGCCCTCGTAAGAGAAGCTACACTCCACGTGGAGTCAGACACAGCCCCAGGCTCAGTTATTTCTTCTTGGATGGACACTGCTCCCTCAGTCCCCCCAATCTTGGCTCTCCCTCGGTCACAGAGGAGGCGGCCCCCAGTGTGAGCCTCACGAGCCATGTCAGAGGCTCCCTGTCCCACACCTCAGAGTGGAGGCCAGCATGAAAGCTGCTTACCATTCTTCCC